TGTCAACCCTGCCAACGTTGTTGAGTTGTAAATTATGATGCCAATAAAATTTAAAATGCATTTGCAATAACAATTTTAAATCAAATATTGAACCAAAAAAATTTCAAATTGAATTAAAATAAAATAAGAAGATTTCCATCATTATCATCGATAGTAACAGCCACAGGTGTTGTGGTAGGTTATTTCAACAGTATTTCCGTCGTTATTTCGTTCATTAAACCTCCATTATTAGAATATTTAACATGATGCTTCTTCCGGCTGTATTTTGTGTCTTGGTGGATTCTTTTCATCAGTAACTCCCGACAGTATTTTTTATCTCGAGTTTTACCGTCGGCTGTACCTGCGGAAACAAGCTTGAATCACCTTCGAAATAACAGACCGCAATAAGGAGACACTACTTATGCACAATATGCATTCAATAAGCTTCATTTACTACCGACGATAACTATGTAAAATACAGACGCGATTCTCTGCTCCTAGGGTGCGCAAACTCAATATGAATTCTCACATGGCCATAACTTTTCAAAATTGTCATGTTGCGAATCATCTTTTGGTTTTTTACAACAACAATTTCATGATTCTTTACAACAATAACAACAACAACAAACGATTCGTTTCTCCAACCATCGTCATCGCTGAACTCTCCACACATTGTTCAATCATCACCCCATCATCATACACATGATCACATACCGCAACCATCAATAACAATGACCATATGTTGTTATGACGACCCGAATAGATATGTACCAACGGTGTTTGATAACTACTCTGCAAACGTTATGGTTGATGGAAAGACCATCAACTTGGGATTGTGGGATACTGCTGGTCAAGAAGAGTAAGTATTAACATCTTGTTGTTCTTTACGTGATGAGTAACCAATGATGATGATGATGATAACGGCTTTTGTACTCTTATTCTGTTTTGGATCAACACTTCTTTTGAAACCAAAATCTCATTGACAACCGTTAACCAATGACACACACCACTCATCGACACACACAATGTCATCAGATATGATCGTTTGCGTCCACTCTCCTACCCAGGAACCTCCGTCTTCCTCATTTGCTTCTCTGTCGTGAATCCATCCAGCTACGATAACGTTCGTTTGAAGTGGCATCCAGAAGTCTCTCACCACTGCAAGAATGTTCCAATCATTCTCGTTGGTACACAAGTTGACTTGAGAGAGAATGAAAGTACCGTACAGAAATTGCGTGAGAAGGGTAAACAACCACTCACTGCTGATCAAGGAGAAAAGTTGAAGCAAGAAATCAAAGCTTTGAAATATGTCGAGTGTTCCGCCAAGACACAACAAGGAGTGAAGGGAGTGTTTGATGAGGCCATTCGAGCATTCTTGTTTAAACAAACTGAACCAGAGAAGAAACCTGCTGGCAAGTGTGATTTGTTGTAAATGATTTAAATGTTCATGAAAAATTGTACAATGTTTTCATCTTGAATAAAACCTCAACTTTGTAATTGTTGAGAAGAGATCAATGTTGTTTCCTTCTCACACACGTCAAAAAATGGGTCGATTCACGCTTTTAAATTTTTCCCATCATTTCTATCGTGATTATCGATTTTGACCACTGCAGATTTTGACCACTGCAGAATGATAACGTATGTTGTAATCACACCAATCAATAGGAACACCGGAAAGTTTTGAGATGGTGGCAGATTTACTTTGCCATTCCGTACTTTCTCTCGTGTACCAACGAGAATGATTGGAACATTCTTGTGAAAAATTAAAAGCGTGATCATCTCCACTGCAAGAATGTTCCAATTATTGGTAGAGAAAGTACGGAACGGCAAATGTGTACATAATCGACGTCGATTCACAATGAGCACGGTATAGAGCTCACTTCGTGGGTTGTTTTTAGGCCTCTATTTACGCTGGTTTGCCTTATCAAGGAGCAGAGCGAAAAAGGAATATTCAAATTTCGAAAACTCGTTTGGTGGCAAGCCAACCTGTGTTGTTGTACACAAAAAAAATCCTCAAAATGGAAAATAAGGGACTCATATTTTTTCCAGCGTTGTTTGTTGGAATCTCGTTACTTTTTTGCTTACTACTACACAATACTAAGGTGGTACAGTGTGCTAATTTCGAATACTATATGGAAACTCTTGCCGGCACGGTAGGTTACCTGTAACAATTCATCATGCGAACATGAGAATAATTTTTTCATCATCACACGGATTCGATATGATATAGGGAGGGAATGGCTTTGCTGGAGAAAATTTGACTTCATCTCAGTCTGGCATGTCCGGAGGCTTATCTTTGTTGCTAGATCCCACTCAATCCTTCATTTACTATTCAGACTATTATAGACTAAGAAGGGTTGATTTGAATACCAACATGGTGACTACGGTACTTGGTACAGGGGTTAGAGGTTATAGGTATGTTATTGCGTTTCATGTATACAGACTCACATCATTACTTCTATGTAGCACTTCAACGGGGCTAGCAGCAAATGCACAAGCATTATATTCTCCAAATGGACTTGCATGGTGGAGATCGAATTCCAAGCTCCTTGTAGGAGAAAATACTGCCATTAGACAAATTGATATGACTACTGGATATGTTAGCTTATTGGCAGGTAAGTCAGGTTGTTGTTGAATAATAGCAATCATCATCAAACGAATATTGTTGTGCATATATTTCTTCCAATAGGAGGTACTTCTTCTGGAACAATAGACCACACTAACCCATTGTCTGCAAAATTTTCTTCAATATCTTGCCTATTTGTTCATTCAAATGATGACATTTATGTATGTGATGGTTCTAGGATCAGAAAAGTAGATGGTTCAACATTGGCAGTAACAACTGTAGCAGGAGGAGCAAGTAGTGGTACAGTTGTAGAGGGAAGTCCTGTTAGCAGTACCTTATTTAATTCAATATATGATTTGAAAATTGTAAGTGTCTTTGAATTGTTGTTTTAGATAACGAGGAACATTTAAGGACAACCAAGGAAACATTTTAGTATTAGTAAGTAATTCAATTTTTTATGACATTACTAATATACTTCGAAAAAAAGGACACGTTCAGAGTACGAAAAATTACAAATAATGGTGGAACATTGACAACAGTGAACACACTTGTTGGAACTGGAGGAACTGGATCTCTTGCATATCCTTCTAAAATGTTTTATGATAGTATTAGTGGAGATTTATATATTACACAGTAAGTATTAGTATGAGCAAAAATAAGTCGACTTGAATTGAGTTGCTCATAGAAACTATTACATTTCAAAATATTCTTCTGGAGGTACTTTTACACATGTACTGGGAACTGGCCAATATTACTCAACAGGTATGTTTGTTATAGATTAAATTTAGTTACGGAATCATCATTTTCATCATTAACAAGCTGATGGCTCTATTACATCTGGTACATCTGTTGCGCTTGCGGATGTGCGTGGTATTGCTATCGATAGTGCTGGCGTTATTTATTTCTCAGAAGCTTTTGGATCCAGACTTAGAAAATATACCGGTTCTATTCTAAGCTCGATCATTAATACTGCTAGTATTTTTGTAAACTATAATCCTGCAAAACAATCACCAATTAGCTCTTTTAGAGCGCAAGTGATGGATCGTGATGGAAACTTTTATTACAGCGAATCAGATTCCGCTTGCATCAAATTTTACAACATGACAAGCCAGTTAATCAAAACATATGCAGGTAAGTTTATTCATCAATTACATTTACGAGACTCTTTTTGTCAATATTTAGGACAATGTTTCATTTCATCATATCAAGCACCTTCTTCTGCTGCTGGTTTGAATGGTCCAGCCATTATGGCAAGGTAAAGTTCAAACATATTAACAATTTCCAACACGAATTCTCATACTCTTTCAGATTTAACCAACTAAGTGGACTTGCGATAGATGATAGTGGAGACTTGATTATTGCTGAACAAGGAACCTACTCAATTAAAAAAGTTTCAAAACAAACGGGTATTATAATTTTGGTTGCTGGATCAGGAAGTAGTACAGACTGTGCTGATGGCACTGCTCCAACTGCTTGTGGGTTGAATGTAAGTTAATGTTTGAAAATGTGGAAAAGAGTTACAATCATACTCGGGCAGTTTCCTCGTGCTGTAGCTTTTTATGATGGAGAATTATATTTCTCTGTCTATCAGAAAATAAGAAAAATTTCAAAAGTAGATGGAAAAGTTTATACTGTTGTAGGAGGAGGAGGTTCAAATACAGATAACATATTAGGAACAGCATCAAGTGTAAGTTTATTTTACTACATATTTGTTACTTTAATAGAGAATGATATAGGTAACATGTGGTAAGTATTTTTCAAAACAACAACAACGATTTTTCAACCACCATGAATCTTCTACAATTAAGGAACAACACTTCAAATCACACCGAATGGTCTTCTATACTACGTGGACACCTCATTGAGCAAAATTAGAGTTTATAATATCAATTCTGGAATTGTAAACACTATTGGCAGATCGTTGTCAGTAAGTAATAGAATGTCAAACTATAATTCTTACTTTTAACAGTACGTTGCTGATATGGGTTGGGCATTTTCTATCAATAATGAAGTATTTTTTGGAACTGGACAGCAATACTTGAAGAAAATAGATAGTGTTGGAAATCTGTATTCTGTAGCTGGAAATGGAATGGGTACATGTAAGTGCATGATTTTAAGAGCTTAATTCAATATCATAATAACACTTAATATCACTTAATTCTTCTTGTTGAACAGCTGAAAATGCTAATGCAATTAATACAGCATTGACTTACATTTACAGCATTGCATGGTCATCTCAAAGAAAAGAATATATTACTTTCGAAGCGTATAGAATTAGAAGAATGTATTTGGTGTGTTCTACCGGATGGCAGGGTGATTTTTGTGATGTTCCAGTATGCTCATCTATTTTAGCTTCTGATCCCAGTGTTTGTTCAGGAAATGGAAATTGTAGCTCTCCCAACAATTGTCAATGCTTTCCCAATTATTTTGGAGCTAATTGCTCCGTTACCACTTGCTTTGGAGTTTTAAGTACTGATCCTACTACCTGCAACGGCAATGGAAATTGTTCAAGTCCGCATAGTTGTGTGTGTGAGCAAGATTATTATGGAAACTCTTGCAATATCACTACATGCTTTGGAAGATTTTCAAATGAATCATCTGTATGTGGGTCCAAAGGAAATTGTATTTCCAAAGATCAATGTACATGTTATGACGGATATATTGGTAATCAATGTGAAATTCCAATATGTAATGGAACATTGGCAAACGACACAAAAGTTTGTAATGGACATGGATCATGTATTCTTCGAGATACTTGTGCTTGTAACGAAACATATTTTGGAAATGTATGTGAGTTTACATTGTGTTTCGGCGTGCAATCCAACTCCTCTCTAGCATGTAACTCACATGGACAATGTAGCAGCTTCAATAATTGTACATGTGACCATAATTACTTTGGAGCAAATTGCTCTCTCACAACTTGTTTCGGAATTAGATCTGATAACAATTCTGTTTGCAGTAACAATGGTGAATGCTTGCAGAATGACCGTTGCTCGTGCTACCCTCACTTCTATGGCGACAAGTGTGATTTGATGAAATGTTTTGGAACGATGTCAAATGATTCATTAGTTTGCAGCGGTCATGGATCTTGTGATGGGTTTGATAATTGCACTTGCTATGAGAATTATTTTGGATCGAATTGCTCTATCACAACCTGTTTTGGAATTAGATCTGACAATAATTCCGTTTGCAACTCACTTGGAAAATGTACCAGCGTCAATAATTGCAGCTGTGATTTGAATTATTTTGGATCGAATTGCTCTCTCACCACTTGCTTTGGAGTTAGATCTGATAACACATCAGTTTGCAACTCACATGGACAATGTACCAGCTTCGATAATTGTACATGTGATTTGAATTACTTTGGATTGAATTGTTCTCTCACAAGTTGTTTCGGAATTTCAAGCAATGAAAGTTCAGTTTGTTCAGGTTCTGGGCAATGTATTGATTTCAACTCGTGTGACTGTCACGAATTTTATGAAGGTATGAACTGTTCATTGAGATATTGCAATGGATTATCGAGAAACAATTCAAATATTTGTGGAGGACATGGAACATGTCAAGATGATGGAGTTTGCAATTGTCAAAATGGTTGGGCAGGTGTAAATTGCTCGATACCCTATTGCTTTGGAATTATTGGTAATGACTCATCTGCGTGCAATTCACATGGACAATGTACCAGCTTCAATAATTGTACTTGTGACCACAATTATTTTGGAACAAATTGTTCTCTCACCACTTGTTTTGGGCACGCCAGCAACGACAGCGATGGTTGCTCAGGTAATGGTGTCTGTATTGACTTTAATACCTGCAATTGTAAAGAATTGTTTGAAGGCTACAACTGCTCGTTTAAATATTGCAATGGGATGTCTAGAAACAATTCAAATGTTTGTGGAGGACATGGAACATGTCAAGACGATGGAATTTGCAATTGTTATAATGGTTGGGTTGGTTCAAACTGCTCGATACCGTATTGTTTTGGAATTATTGGCAATGACTCATCTGCCTGCAATTCTCACGGACAATGTACCAGCTTCAATAATTGCAGCTGTGATTTGAATTACTTTGGAACAAATTGCTCTCTCACCACTTGCTTTGGAGTTAGATCTGATAACACATCAGTTTGCAACTCACATGGACAATGTACCAGCTTCGATAATTGTACATGTGATTTGAATTACTTTGGATTGAATTGTTCTCTCACAAGTTGTTTCGGAATTTCAAGCAATGAAAGTTCAGTTTGTTCAGGTTCTGGACAATGTATTGATTTCAACTCGTGTGACTGTCACGAATTTTATGAAGGTATGAACTGTTCATTGAGATATTGCAATGGATTATCGAGAAACAATTCAAATATTTGTGGAGGACATGGAACATGTCAAGATGATGGAGTTTGCAATTGTCAAAATGTTTGGGCAGGTGTAAATTGCTCGATACCCTATTGCTTTGGAATTATTGGTAATGACTCATCTGCGTGTAATTCACATGGACAATGTACCAGCTTCAATAATTGTACTTGTGACCACAATTATTTTGGAACAAATTGTTCTCTCACAAGTTGTTTCGGAATTTCAAGCAATGAAAGTGCAGTTTGCTCAGGTTCTGGGCAATGTATTGATTTCAACTCGTGTGACTGTCACGAATTTTATGAAGGTATGAACTGTTCATTGAGATATTGCAATGGATTGTCGAGAAACAATTCAAATGTTTGTGGAGGACATGGAACATGTCAAGATGATGGAGTTTGCAATTGTCATAATGGTTGGGCAGGTGTAAATTGTTCGATACCCTATTGCTTTGGAATTATTGGCAACGACACTGCTAATACATGCTCAGGAAACGGTAACTGCATCTCAAACAATGTATGTGAATGTTTTTCGGGATGGCTGGCAAGTAACTGTAGTGAGTCAACATGTTTTAACATATCAGGAAGTTCTGCATGCAACTCTCATGGAAAATGTATTTCAAAAGATGTGTGCTATTGTGATGCAGATTGGGTGGGTGCAAACTGTTCTGTACCAATTTGTTTTGGTCAGTATGGCAACAGCTCTAACACGTGCTCTGGAAACGGAGAATGCATCTTGCCAAACTATTGTGCGTGTAATAATGGATACTATGGTCAGAGTTGTAACACATATGACTGCTTTTATGTGAGAATGAATGAAACGACAACATGCAATGGTAATGGCAACTGCACAGCTCCAAATATATGTAATTGTTCTCTCAATTATTTTGGGCAAGAATGCGAAACCACAACTTGTTTTGGTATCAATAGTTCAGATCCTTTTGTTTGCAACGGCCATGGAAACTGTTCTAGGTTTGATCACTGCTCTTGCTACACAAATTACACAGGAAACAATTGCTCTATTAGAGTAGAGACTGGTTCTACAGCTAATAACAGCAACTATGTAGCTGATGTTCAATGCTTTGGAATCAACTCAACAGATGGGAATGTGTGTAGTGGTCATGGATTTTGTTCCAGTACTAACAATTGCACTTGTTATGAGAATTATTTTGGAGATAGCTGCAACATTACTTCTTGCTTCAATAGTTGGAATAATGATTCTAATGCTTGCAACTCACATGGACAATGTACCAGCTTCAATAATTGTACTTGTGACCACAATTATTTTGGAACAAATTGTTCTCTCACAAGTTGTTTCGGAATTTCAAGCAATGAAAGTGCAGTTTGCTCAGGTTCTGGGCAATGTATTGATTTCAACTCGTGTGACTGTCACGAATTTTATGAAGGTATGAACTGTTCATTGAGATATTGCAATGGATTGTCGAGAAACAATTCAAATGTTTGTGGAGGACATGGAACATGTCAAGATGATGGAGTTTGCAATTGTCATAATGGTTGGGCAGGTGTAAATTGTTCGATACCCTATTGCTTTGGAATTATTGGCAACGACACTGCTAATACATGCTCAGGAAACGGTAACTGCATCTCAAACAATGTATGTGAATGTTTTTCGGGATGGCTGGCAAGTAACTGTAGTGAGTCAACATGTTTTAACATATCAGGAAGTTCTGCATGCAACTCTCATGGAAAATGTATTTCAAAAGATGTGTGCTATTGTGATGCAGATTGGGTGGGTGCAAACTGTTCTGTACCAATTTGTTTTGGTCAGTATGGCAACAGCTCTAACACGTGCTCTGGAAACGGAGAATGCATCTTGCCAAACTATTGTGCGTGTAATAATGGATACTATGGTCAGAGTTGTAACACATATGACTGCTTTTATGTGAGAATGAATGAAACGACAACATGCAATGGTAATGGCAACTGCACAGCTCCAAATATATGTAATTGTTCTCTCAATTATTTTGGGCAAGAATGCGAAACCACAACTTGTTTTGGTATCAATAGTTCAGATCCTTTTGTTTGCAACGGCCATGGAAACTGTTCTAGGTTTGATCACTGCTCTTGCTACACAAATTACACAGGAAACAATTGCTCTATTAGAGTAGAGACTGGTTCTACAGCTAATAACAGCAACTATGTAGCTGATGTTCAATGCTTTGGAATCAACTCAACAGATGGGAATGTGTGTAGTGGTCATGGATTTTGTTCCAGTACTAACAATTGCACTTGTTATGAGAATTATTTTGGAGATAGCTGCAACATTACTTCTTGCTTCAATAGTTGGAATAATGATTCTAATGCTTGCAACTCACATGGACAATGTACCAGCTTCAATAATTGTACTTGTGACCACAATTATTTTGGAACAAATTGTTCTCTCACAAGTTGTTTCGGAATTTCAAGCAATGAAAGTGCAGTTTGCTCAGGTTCTGGTCAATGTATTGATTTCAACTCTTGTGACTGTAACGAGTTTTATGAAGGTACTAATTGTGAACTGACAACATGTTTTGGCATCAATTCTACAACCGTAAGCTCAGCCTGCTCTTCACATGGGCAATGCATTGCTCACAACAAATGTAAATGTATGAACGGATACAGTGGTGATCAGTGCCAATTTGCTACTTGTAATTCCATCCTGTCGAATGATTCCACTCGTGTTTGTAATGGAAATGGTGAATGTGTCTCTCCTGATACATGCACATGCTCTGGAAATAATTATGGTGGGCAATTTTGTGATACACCAATTTGTTTTGGCAAATTAGGGTCAGACAATGCAAGCGTTTGCAGCGGAAAGGGATTTTGCATGACTCCGAATCACTGTACTTGTGTCACATCCACTGGATATTCTTTAAAAGTCGATGGATTTGAATGTGAAAACTTGTCATGTAAAGGTTCTAATAACCGTTACTTTGCTTCAACTGATCAAAGAGTATGTTCTAACGGAAATGGAGACTGCGTTTTAAATTCCACAACTCGTGAAGGAGGATGCAAATGTAACGACGGATATTCTGGAGAATATTGCCAATTAACAAGTTGCTTTGGAATTGACGCTCAAAATTCGAGTGTTTGTGGTGGACATGGCCAATGCATTGCTTATAATTATTGTAACTGCTCGAGCAATGAACAAGATGGCTTCTGGTATGGTTATAATTGTGAGAGTTGTCTTCCAACTCATACTGGACCAAAATGTAATATTCCAACATGTAATTCTACATCCACATGCAATAACCATGGAGAATGTGAAAATTTACAATGCGCATGCAGGGACAACTGGAACGGAAGATTTTGTGATGAATGTAGAGAGAATTATTTTGGACAGTCATGTGATATTTATTGTTCCAAAGAAACTAACTGCTCTGGACATGGAGCCTGTATTGCGAATGGACAATGTTCATGTTATCAATCGTCATCACAAGGTTATTGGGCTGGCAATAGGTGCGACATGTGCTTAAACGGTTATTATGGAGAGGAATGTGCAACCAAGTTTGTTGGTCAACCACAATTCAACGACTTGGGTAGTGCATTAATATTCCATGTGTTCGCTCCAGCATCTTTCAGTAGTGTCAATATTGAGTGTTCTAAGTTGTTAGAATTAACATCTAATGAATTTGGTACATCCCCTATTTGTGGATGGACACACAAGGATAGCGGGCTATTCATGATTCGATTTGGTGAAAATCCTTCGATTTTACCCAACCAGTTCATTAGATTGAATAGAAATGTTTTCAACATTCGCGTAAACGTGTCTGATTATGTATCCGTACAAGTCATTGGAGCCACAACTCCCATACAACCGATGGCATTCGTTGATATTTCTTCAACACGTGTTGGATTGTGTAACGATATTGAATTGGATGGAAGTGCTTCATTTTCTGGAGATGGAAGAGAATTACGGTTTAATTGGACTGCAATGTCATCACCATCACAATCTATACTACAACAAATGTTGAACCAGATTAATGGTAACGCAACAATCAAACTCTCTTCCGCTCAATTGCAAAGCGGTATTCATACCATTTCATTGCAAGTTCGAAGCACATTCTCTGGTAGTTTGAGTATTGCAAAAACTGTGACATTTGAAAGAGAGCCAACACCCATTCCATCCATTGAAATTGTTGGCAAGAACGTTATTGCTAACATTACCTCTAATGATCTTCCGTTATTGATCAAGAAGTCTCTGAAATTACCTGTATGCGATAATGGAGACCTTGCCACATCTGTAAAATTGGTTTGGAAACAACTGAGTGGACCAAAAACCGACTACCAATCAGACTCTTTCAATAATTTGTTAATTTCCAAATTTTACTTTTCTGGAGAACGTTCATACCAATATGCTCTTCAACTTTTAAGAGTAACCGACAATTCTCTTCTCTCAGAGCAATTAGTTACCATTTATACAGTACCACAAGACCTCATATTGGATATTTCTTCAGAAAAATTGACATCATCTACCATTAATATTATTGCTGAAATGAATGATCCGGATGAAACTACGGACACCTTATTTTATCAATGGACGTGCAGAGATGTAGTTTACAATGGATTATGCTCGGACAGCATTCAACAATTACTATCAGATGCTTCTGTTTTCCAAAATAACTCCATTCAAATAACAAACGAATATGCGGAGCAACTTGAGATTTCTCTGAAAGTAACTAAAGGAACACGAAGCGCACAATCCAGTGTTATGATTGCATTTGATAATTCTCCAATCATTAACATTATTGAAATCAAACCTTCCAAGCCCTCGATTACTCAAGGCACAATATTGAGTATTCAATATTCCATTGCAAGTGCAAATGATGTTTTAACACAGTGGGCTCTTAATGGAAAATACATTGATGAAATACTTATCAATAGAATGCCTGATAAGAGCCTCAATCATTCAGATTACATACTCATTGATTCTTCCAAGCTGGAAGAGGGTTCTAATCATTCAGTTTCTCTTACTGCCCTTGATTTACGTACAACATTGTCAGCAACTCGAACACATCGCTTCCAAATAGCTCGAAGTCCCAATTCTTGCATATGTTCATTAACCCCTACAGAAGGAGTGGCCTTAGAAACCGATTTTTTATTCAAATGTATTAATTGTAACAATCCAACAAAACTGGTAGAATACTCGTTCGGCTTTGTAGACGATAGATCTGGGGCTAATGTACCACTCTATCATGCAGGAGAAAGATACTCCACAAAACTCCCATTGCCTTTCCAAGGAAATACAATGAAGGTATTTTTAGATGTTTTTGACCCTCAAACCATGAGTAGAAACACTAAAAATATCAATGTTAAAATTTATAATCCACAAGTGATCTCCATGGCTGAACTTCGGGCCAAGACCATGCAATGGAAAACGATTGAAAATAATTTAAGAGATGGAGATTCTGGCAAGAGTATTTACAATGCAGGAACCATTTCAAGAACAACTATTGGAGTTTTAAAGCAACTGAATGAAAATGTACAACGGAGAAGAATGACCACAAGTGACAAGTGTAATGGACAAGGCAGTTACAACGAAGAAAAAGAAATGTGTGATTGCAATACAGGCTACTTCAAACGTGATTGTAGCGTATCTAAAAGTACCTATCAATACTTGATTGACTTAAAGTTCAATGAGACACAAACATTTATTTCAAGCTATACCAATAGAAATCGTTTGGAGAAATTAAGTGACGTGTATTTGACATTGCAAGCATATGGTCTACAATCTCTTACTTTCAATTATGATGAATTTAATGACTCATCCATAACAAGTGTTGTCGAAGTTACTGAAGATATTGTTCAGCTTGCGTTAAATACTACCAATCTAGTATTACCATATGGAGTGGACCAATTGATCATTGAGGCAATGAACTCAATCTACAATTACATCCTCTACAAAAATAATGGTCCCTACATTTATATTCAAGAGAAGTTATTGAATATCATTCAGTGTGTCGGAAAGTTATTGCTGAGAGGTCAGCAAGTGGGTGAGAAGAATGTACATTTGAAAGCAAAATTTTCCACGCTAACCACTAACAAATTGTGGAGAAAAGACTTCCCAAGCCTTGTTGTACCATATTTCATGGATTCTTCTAACAAGGAACGAACTGTTTTATATCCAGAGAATATTATTCAATCGATCAATCAGAAATCAACAAAAACACCTGTCGAGCATGTTGTTTATACTATGAACGATTTTTATAATTGGAATAGCACATTACCACGCTCCTCTCAAGCGGGCTCTTTGAACACCACGGTTGATACTTATTCCTACTTTGTTTCCAAATATTTTGTATTTGTATCCATTGAATCATCACAAATAGCCTCACCCTCTCTTAATGATAGTAAGATTAGTGTTTCTATTCCTGTAATAGACATAAACACTACAGGCCAAATTAAGAAAGCTTCTAGCAGTACTACATTATTTAACAACAATGGCACCTTATTCAACAAGACGATACAAATCGAGGAGACCTTTTCCTGCAGATATCTCCAACAGGGAATGTGGATTTCTGACACAACTTGTAATTTAGTGATGCCTATTACTGACCAAGTGATGACATGTCAATGCCTCCATTTTGGTTTGTTTGCCATTACCAAAGACACCACAGTTACAACAAATGTCAAGGTTTCAATTGATAATCTGCCAGAAGCAGAAAAATCTTCTCATCCAAAGCCACAAAATTCTTCGTCTACCGTTGGCACCACGTTTTTGTGGTTCCTTTTACCTGTTGGTCTGCTGCTAATGTGTCTCGTCATCATGTGTTGCATGTGTGTCCTATTCATTTTGAGGAAGAAGTACAAGAAAAAGAGAGAAAACAAGAAAAAACCATCTATTTATACCGTGGAGCAAAGTCAAATTGATTTGATTCAAATGGATGTCTTTTCAATGTAAGAGGAGATGAAGTCTGTAACGTTGTGTTACATAATCGTTCCTCAAAGATCTCCTCAAATAAAACCTCAACTAACAACAAGTTCTGCGACTGCTACAATTCATCCTCAGGGAAGAAGCCAGCATCTACAAATTTCTTTGATCTCGTATTCTTGTGGTCTTGTTGCACATTCGTTGGACTTGATTGTTGTGGAGGTGGTTGATATTGAGGAGGGGTCTGTCGAGGAGATTGTTGTTGAGTCTGTTGAAGTATGGGTTGTTGTTGCTGAGTCGTAGTGGTCGTCGTTGTAGTGCTGAAAGAATTCAGCCTGTTGTTGTTTGGATTGGTCCCATTCGCTTGAACAGAACTTGATCTCTTCATGGGAGGAATTGGAGTATTTGGTTTTGTTGAAGATGATGCTGAATGAGGAAGTGTTGGCAAAGGTTTAGGATGATGATCCCTTCTCGGACTTACTTTGTCTGTCGAGTGTAGTTGTTCTTCCTGAGCACAATGATGATTACGGGGAGAAATTTGTTGAATTGTTGAGGAATGACCGCTCAGTGAGTGCATGCTCGACCCAGGATGATCTTGTTCAGCATGATGAATGATGGGCTGAACAGTTGGAGTTTGAGGTTGTTTTGGAATTGCTCTCGGAGAAGTTTGTGAATCAACATTCTCATTAGAATCCACAACAGAAATAGATTCATGATTTTCCGAATTTGAAAATGGTTCTGTTGTGGTTGTTGCAGACGGATAGGACAAGGAAAAGAGTTGTTTGGTTTGAGGTTGTTGCATCCATTCTTCTTGTTCTTGTCTGAGTTTGTCCAATTTGGCAATAATGGAAATGGCAGCTCCTGTTGGAACTTTGAATTCAGTTAAATCTTTGGTTAAACAGAGAATGGCATTTCCAGTGAGTTGTTGTTTCATGAGGACTGTATGTTGAGCCATGAGTGTCGAATGTCCATGCATTTGGACATGTTTTAAATATTTAATATAAAATTTGAAATTGATTCAATGAGATAGATTCAAATGAAAAATAATCATCAAATGATGTCGGAATGAATATTATTTCAATTATTTCCACGTAAAACGTAGAGTATTGAATGATTGAATACAAGATTGCGTGGAAAACATACCATCAATGACAGTTTTTTGGTCATATTTTTCACTCATCAGCCAATGTTTGAAATTCTCGCTGGTCCAGTTTTTGATAGCGATGTGTGTGACATCTGGCACAAATTCATGCGTGGATGTTGTACTCTTTAATTTGAATAGATTCATTTTTTTCTGTTGGTTTTTCCTGTGTCCTTTAAAGAACAAAAGGTCTTGTTCCATATCAAATTTCTAAAAAAGGAAGCCATCATTTATTCAGTCTGTGACAAGATTGTTCGTTGGATCGAGAATGGTTCCATTCGAATATTAAGGTTTTGAACAAATCCGAGAAAGCTCAGTGAGGGAACTTGCAACAGTTCAACTTCCTACTCCTGTCATTTCCTCAATTCATTCAAAACATATTGATTATGTTTCGATAAAAATTAGTATTAAAATCCACTTGTTGCTGTAACAAATTTCATACATGAGCGTCTTCACTTTTGATGACAGGACGGCATGGCGTCCCATTTTCGAAAGGAGGTGTTTCAAATTGTTGTTGCTCTTGTAAAGTTGAAGAAGGAGCATTCAAACTATGCGAGTTGGAGTCTGTTGTTTCCATTGCTCCATTCAAACATGGAGAATTCACGGTTGCAGCATTTGTACTCGTTGTCGAAGAAACAGTCGAATTCGGCAATGCACTTGAATTTCGTTTTCTCGTACTATAAATACTTTCATGATACGGATAGTCCGAGGTGGGAATTGGTTGCTCTTTGGTATTTCCAAAATGAAAGATGGGATGATACAAGGCCAATGCCACCACTGCAAATATTAAAATTCCCAAATTATTCAATACCAAATAAAACAAACTAAAATATTTCCATTCGGAAATGACAGCACCAAAAGCCACAGCAATAATTTGAAGCAAGGCACTCAGCGTGAGAGTCACTTGTAAAATCACGACCTTAATGAAGGCACGTTTCATTTGAGAGTTGTTTTTGATGTGTTTGGAACGATTCGAGTTGATAACTTGTAAAACTTTGAAGGAAATGGCCTTGTCGTGTTCATGAAGGTAAGTACTTTACAAAAAAATACATGTAAGAATACTTACAATGGTTGCAGCTAATTGGAGTAATATTTGGAAGAGAAAGATCAGAAATCCAATGACGTACAAGTAAATTTGAATATCCTGAACTAATTTCAATCGGATGAAGGAGGACATGATGGCAACTGTCCATACCACTGCCAACACTGTTAAGGAAAATATAACTGTTGAAACATTAAAGATGAATGTTGCAGTCTTGTAGCCAGCACCTAGGAATGATTCTTGAGCATTGGCTAATTTCACGGTCCGAATGAACACATTACCAATAAAGCACATGATGGACATGAGAACACTCAAATTCGATAAGGTAAACAACAACTCGAGAGTATTGGCCACATTCATTCCCACGAGATGAGAGTATGGAATATTGGCATCCGTAATGATGAGAGAGCTATTCTCATAGAGAAAGGTTTCCATATAGAGTGTACTGTTGGTAGGGTAATGAGTGGAAACAAATTGTCGTGCAAGAGAAACAATGGACATGTTGATGGAAGTGTAAATACATCGACAAGTCATTCCGAGTGCTTGAACGAGAACGAGGAGAAGGATCAGACCAATCATGATTCGTTGATTTCGTTTCATGGCATTCTCGGAGTGATGGTGTCCTTTGGATGATCGTAAAGCTTTCTTTTGCCAACACGTGTTGAAGAGGATGATAAAGATGGTCACTAGTAGGAGAGTACATGCAAGCAGGGAAGCTAATATAAGGTCGGGAATGGAGAAAGATAGCTTGTCTAATTGTCCTAGTGTGATGGGAGGAGGTTGTTGTGAGCTGGTATTCGCAGATGATGAAGAGTTGTTGTTGTTGCTCTGTTGCAACATGTGATACATGGTGGTTGTAAGGAAAGATTCAAAGAGCAACCCGTCAGTCTTGAACGGCATTGGTAACCGATGAAGAGATATTGAACCAGCAGGGAGAGTCGGATGATTGTTTTTGTTGAAAATTAATGTCACAATGGTTAGGCGAAGGAGAGCAAGAATGAACTCTGACAGGAACAAATTTGTCAATGACACAATGCGAGTGAAGACTAGATCTGTAAAACATCTCCAGGTTTTGGTGAATGTGTCCATTCTCAAGATGTCATTTCGTGCAAAATAGACAAGATGAATCTCTCGAATGAGAATGGGAAAGTCATGATATCTCTTGTGGAATGAAACAACCAGTGTAAAACCATGGCATTGTCTTTGACGTATTTCAGCTCAATTGTCATTCCTGCACTGAAAACCACAAAATGATGGGGCAACAAACTGCACCGTATCCCTTTCATTACTCAGCCGTACCACCTATGTTTTGTAAACTCTTGGATGAACTTGTAAAATTCAAAAAATTGAAAAAGGTCCCTCACGCTGGCGTTCCCAACTACCACTTCGCTGGTGTAACATTCCTTTATTTGGTTCATTCGGGCTACGTCTCAGTGTTTTTGTTACATTAGCTTTTTGTTGTTCGCCCAGCAAAAGCTGCTTTGTCTTTGTTGAAGGACAAAGGCTTCTGCTGGAGCTATAATGAATAATAAAACGACTTGAGGTATGTTGTTGTGATTAGAAAAATACGGTGTAATTGTGGTCGGAAGAAATAAATAGGTGAACAATTTTAAACGTGTTCCAATTTTTGGACGAACTTTTTTTGTGATGAAAAATGCTTGACATTTTATTGCATGTCTTGAGACGAAGCCACCACCTGGCTCAGCTGGGAATACGAAACGAGGTTTTTTGTTTTCTTTGCAAATACGTAAAAAGGAGGTGACAACAACTGATAATTTCCAACAATCACAGCAATTTGTTTTTGATAAAGCTTGGTGCTGGTTGTTGATGAAAATTGTCCAATTAATTTAAATTTGAATGGATCCGTCTGATTTGGTGCCACAAATATTTTAAATGAGTTAATTGGTTCAGAATGTCGAGATGCATTTTCATTGTTCTCATTGAAATTGCGAACCTCTACGGTTGCATTGCTCAAAGAAATATGATTAGTCTTAATTTCAAATTCTACGGGCTTTTTAAGCAAAAATGCCGCAATATGATTTTGAGCATGAATTAATGAGTCGTGTGTTTGAATAATGGTAAAACTGATGTCGTCGGTTAATGTAAGTCGTTCTGTTAAGTTTGGCAAAACTTCACTTGTTTCAATATGGAAAACAGGAAGTGAAATGTTGTAGTAATTGGAAATGCTTGTCTCCATGAAATCGGTGGCAAATCCGGCCCTATAGTCATGTCTTGACTGATGGTATGATTGACGGATGGAGTTGACACGATGTTGTAAACATCGCAATTGTAAGTCTTTCGCACAAATTAAATCTTGATCTGTAAAACTATAAGAAATGGATGTCACGCTTTCTCTAGCTTGCTTTCTTTCATTATTAAAGTCAACAAATTGTTTTTCAGTCATTCTCATCAAAATTTGTTGGTTAATTTGACTAGGGGCATCACAATATTTCCTCTTTCTATCGTTATTGTATGAAAGATATACACATTCTTTTTTCACTAATTTGATTTTCATGTTTGAGTAACTTCTATGATAGTCCAATACTGTGGTTCTTTTTGAATAATCACGTGACTCTCCGAAAAATCCTTCAAGAGAACGTGTTCCCAATAAAGACAAATCAAAAACTGCATCTTGTGGAATAATTCTGATCAATTTCTGAATTGTTTTGATGTTATGGATAATGATGTTTTTTGTGAGGGTTCCGGATAATGTAAAATTATTATTCTTATTGGAAATAATGACGTCTTGGAAAACGGTATCCCACTCATTCAAATAGTCCAAATTTTCCTTAAGAACTTGCAACACTTCGTGCAAATTGTGTGAAGATGTTCCATCATGATTTTTGTCATCGTAAACATGAAATAAATCATGTATCGCTTTTAAGTACTTATAGAATCCTAAATATCGATAGTTGGTTCTCTCGTTCAATAATCGTAATTTTTCAAGTAACTGTAAATTGCATACATCACGTAATACATCCTCAGATTGATCATCATATTTGATAAACGAGCTCCGTTTAACTATTTTACACCACTCTAAAGGTTGTTGTCTATATATTTCATCGAGTGTGTTCAATTCAAATCGTTGTAAAATAGAACAAGAAATTTTGGTGACAGCTATGTCTTGATTGCTAAAATTTGCCACACACACTTTACCAATGTTAGTATGAAGGGTTTCACTCAACAACGTAACACTTAATTCGTTGTCATTGCTGCTATGATAGAAAGAAATGCCTCCAGAGTTAAAATTCCGTGGTTCTTTTTCTTTCCATTCAAATGAAATTGTGTCTTTGTCATTCACTATGAAGGAAAGTGGTATGTTGGTCGCTTGTGTTCTTTGAATAACAATTTTCATCAAATGGCAACCGTTTCCGTTGTCGTTGGAAGAAATACAAGCAGAGGAATGGCGTGCAATTTGAAGGTTTGGAGCACCTACTTTAGTGGCAACCGGATATAATTTTGGTCTCCCATTAATTGCATTCCTCATGTTTTTGCAATGGTGACTGTAGCAAAAATGATGTAGTTCATTTGGGCTCGATGTGAAATATTTGTAATTAGCAGACCCTGCATCTGACACAGTACAGACGATGTTTCGAGTATATGTGTCACGAAATTCAGAAATCGTGTCTCTAATGGTTTGTTCAGTTTCAGTAGTGCATACTTTGAAGTTTCCAGGAATTCGAACTTCACCGTTAATACTGCAATATAAAGTTTGAACAATTTTTTCAGCTAAAAAACCCTTGGGTGGAAAATTCGGACTCTGAGCTAGTGCAGTACAATCACTAATCTTCAATGGACCTTCATTGGCACCGTATACAAGCCCAAGCTTGGTATTGATTCCTAAATGCGGTGTTACATCTACTGCATCAATTTGAACAAGACCAAAATTTTGATTTTCAATAACCTTCATTTTTTCTACTAGCTTATCAAAGTCATCTTTGTCTAGTTTAGTATTCCCTTCTCCATATGATGCGGTGTGAAAATGATGGTCGAGTGTGGATGAACAAGGTAGGACTAAGTTACATCTTTCAGAAGAGGGTTCAAATTCTTGTCCTCGTTTCAACCCTCTCGCCAATGCTTCATACGCATTGTATCCCATGATAACCAATAAATCTTGAGCAAAACAAAGAACAGATGGGCTCCATCTATGGCCTCTACTGTCTTTGCAAATTAATTGTGAAAAAGCATCACGAAGATATGTGAAAAAGAAAGTTCGAGGTACTAATTTGCGACTACCTAACACCTGAAAAAACAATTTTTTCAATTCTTGAATATCCTCATCAAATATATCACATTCCGAATAATAACTATCATCATCGTTATTTTGTGATTTAAAATCAGCATGGTCTACAAAATTATGAGAGATGGTGTCGGACTTGGTATTTACAATTGATGAGTGTGTTGGAATAAATTTGTTGTTAATTAGTTGTTGCAGCATGTAATACGGTGCTGTTTGTTCTTTTGTTGAATATGACAACGTGATGTAGTCTTCAGCAAAACCATGATCCAGGATTTTATGTAATTCAATAACGCCGACATTTTTTTCTGGTTCGAGTAATTTCATGATGGTTGAACTAGAATAACGTTGTGACGTTGTTGAGGTTTGAGGTGGGTCTTCGCAAGCTGTACTTGTTTTGGAGTGTTTACGTTTTTGACGAATTCGCATCAGCTCGTCATGACACTCTTTCAATTTCAAATAGCCTTGAAAATGTAGTTTGTTGATCCATTCTGATGTTAACTCTTGATTTTGTCTTTGATTTTGAAATTTTGGGTCAGAGTAAATGTTATAGATAGCACTATCCTCGTCCGGGTCAATGCAATCAGTAACATATTGTGCAATCTTTGTTGAATTGTCAACCTGGAATTTGCAACAGTATAGAACAAATGGGACTCGTTTGTTGTGTGTGATGAGGTATGAGAAATATAGTTCGAGATGGCGATGGATGGTATTAAAATCCTTGCGATGAAATCCACATTGATCAATAATATCTTCTATTAAATGTTCGACATTAATATATTGATGGACTGCGAATAGCATTGTTTTGATGGCAACATGATATTCCGGTCTCAACAGACCGACAAAGGCGTTTCGTTCATGTTTTAACATTTTTATTGAAAAAACCTCCAGCAAACACCAGAACAAAACTTCGACAGCCTGCTCGACCTTTTTTAAAATGGTTAGGATTCTAAAAAATAAAGTGCTTTCCAAATGCTATTGTAACACTATTTCTGGGAGTTGGGAACGCCAGATGAAGATTCCTATTGTATTTTGTCCGCAACAATCATGTTTATTTCATTGGAGGATTGAATGGAAAATCAAGCCAGCTCTCGAGTTCAGGATACGAGGAAGCCAACCTCTTTACAACATACTCCCATACTTGCCAATGAGGTTTGGAATTTGCTATCGACAGGAGTTGAGACGGATTATCAACTGTTACTACCAGCCACGTGCCTATTATTATCAGTAACAATGAACCAAATGATTCCATATGGATGTTTCAAACTTACCATGTTGAATTTCTGATGACAGTTGTCCCTTCCTCCATGAGGCTAAACGTTGTCTTGCTTCAAGCTCTTTTAATAAATTTTCAAGATATCGATTACCCTCTTCTTCTAAGGTTGAAAGCATCTCATCATTAATAGTATCTTCAGGTTCATATTCATATTCATTAGAATCAGTACTATCGTCATATTCGTCATTTGGATCGTAGTCATCCTCAGGATTGTTTGAAAAATTATTGTCATCATCATATTCGAAAGTATCATGTGTTTGCAATGGCATTACAGGAGTAATGGTAAGAGGAATTTTTGATTTAAGTAAATTAGGGTCGTTTGGAAATGTCTCAATATTTGCCTCGAGTGATTTCGAGAACTCTTGTTGAATATGGTCTGTTGTTACTGAACTGCTTTCTGAATTGGACACAGGAGCAGTTGACACACTCGAATCACTCCCGTCACCGGCATTGGACGTTTGAGGAATATGCTCTTCTATCATGGAGGGTAACAATTGCTTTTGGTTTTTCTTTCTTTTCTTTTTTCTTCGAAGCTCATGTGCTCTCTTTCCCAAAATTGAAGCCACACGTTGCTTGTTGTCAGTCATAACAAAGCATGTTCTCTCAAAAACAATGTCCGTCAACATGGGATGAGAGACTAAAATGTGAAATTTTTGGGTTCAACAGTATTAACGAGTGAAAATTCAACTGGTTGT